CAACATGTACAAGGAGTACCGAGAGATGAGCCGCACCGACGCCGTCGAGGCCCTGTACCAGGATATGGCTGCCAGACATCGTGCCCGATTCAGGAGCATCCACGTACGTTTTCCCCCTTTGCCAGTGTCTTCTCCCTTTCTCCCTGCTCCTTGAGAAATATCCAAATTTCTTCCAAACCCTCCACCTTTTCCTTTCGAAACGTCCGAAAAAATTATTTCCTTGCTAATAATACGCCATCTAGATCCTCAAAGTCGTCGAGATCACCAACCCCAACGACGTCAAGCGACCATACATCAAGCAGCTGATCACCCGCAACCTCAAATTCCCGCTCCCCCACCGCAGCAACCGCTCAAAGAAGCTCTTCACCTCCAAGAGACCCACCACCTTCGCCTAAGCTTCACGTCGATCCTCCAAAGAGTGAATTTGCCGAGCGTTGATGTGTGGTTCTTGCGACACGGAGGGTTTACGGTCTAGACTCGCAGTTACGGAAGAGGAGATGTGGTTTTGAGGGGCGGTTACGGGGGTCATTGAAAACATTGTGACACGAGAATCTGGAAGAACCGGGGAAGAGGGTTTAGACTATTCGAGGCTGATGAATCCAAGCAAGCCATCGTGTGGGCGTGGGAAACAGACACCTCTTACAAAACAATGGCGACGGTGTGAAAGCGAGAAACTGTGTGTGTCGGGTTTTTTTTAAAACTTGCATTGCCTGGATGACGACCAATGAAGGACCGGAGCAAAAAAAGAATATTGATCAATTCAATTCAATCCGATTCGATCCAAACTCAATCATTCAGTCAGTCTGGAAGCATGCTTCTGCTGCGGGTTTCTCGGTGGTGAAGGCTAACACTCGGCTCCCCAGCAGAATGGGATCGCTGGCAAAATGAATGCAAAAACTTCCACCTCGATGGAAAAATCCCAAAATGATAATTGAACCCGTTACGTAAAATGCGAGCAGACAATGTTCAACCCCTTTCACAGCCAGAAAAGGTCGTGGTCATTTACTAATTCAGTTCTGTCGTCTCCTTGAGTATCAATTCTTCGTTATTCGGCCGTGCTCAAAGTGCTCTGTCTCTCTCCCTCTCTTCCTTCTCCTCTGTCTGCCTTTCCTAAACTTCCCCTCTTCATATCCACATATTACGAACAAGCCAAAGCTCGCTATTAAGGGGCCACACACCAAAGAGATAAAAAGTCCTTCGAACCCAATAGCGCGTGTGGTTGCACCATCGGCGAAGATCGACCGAATAGCCGTAATGCTACCAATCCATTCATTGCGCTGCTCGTCAATCGCTACCGTCATGAAAGAATCACATCTTCCTCCTCCTTTGTGGCGTATATCGCGTCATTGTACAACGTACAAGGCTATCCAGTGTTTGGCGCACTCAAGACAAGAAGTTTGAGATTGTGGAAAACTCTTGCCAGGAGGACTTGCACACCTTGTGGCACGCGTGGACACACCGAAGGGCCTGTAAGACGCAGAAGATATATGACATTCGTGATCCACCACTTTGTTCTCCTTTTGCTCCCTCAAGTGCTCCCAGCGTGGCTGCTCCCAGTGTAGCGATGTTCCTGCTCGTCCTGTATATCCAGAGTAGGATGCATCACCTGTCGAAGCAAAAAGGACTCAGAGATCCCTTCCAGAACACAGCGGTCGCGACCTATTGTTCGTTGCGGCGAGGTGCTCTGGCCGTGATGATATGGATTTGGTTGTAGACATGGACATTAGTATCGGCAGCCTGGCCTAGTGCTTCATTGCAAAGCCGTTTGACGTGATCAGGAGGCCAATTGGAGAACGTGCACAGAGGCGCAAGGCTGATGGCTTCAAGCCCATAGGCACCTCCACCGTTCCAGTCGGGACCCATCATCAGCTGCCACCATTGTGACATGCGATACATATAGTCCTCGTTCTTGCCCCATGTATTCAACGGAATCTGGAATACGATATGCTGGACATCCCTGAACCCCACGCGCCTCAACGTGTCCACTGCCGATGGATCCCAGTGCAGACGACGACCGGCTGCTTCGTACGTAGACTTGATGTAGAGATCCCACCACTCGGTCAGTTTGCCATGTTGTAGCGTACCGTCATCACACCGAGGCTCGAAATCAAACTCGACCCATTCAAAGTAACCCCCAGGAACGAGATGGGCGAAAATTTTCTCAAAGAGCCTGTCCCAGTTTGCCACACTGCCCAATCCCATTTGAAGGTGAATAAGATCCCAAGATGCTTCGCCCAAAGCCCACGGACCCTCGTAATCCCAGGGTACGGTGTAGTCGACGGAATCACTGGGATTCGGTGGCCCTTGGAATTGTATGTCAACGCCCCTGAACTCTGCATCCTTGAAGGTGTGTGACATGTCGATGATCCAGACGCCGGTGCCGCAACCCAGGTCGAGGACTCGAGGCCGACGAGGTCGATCGTCCCACCCATCTGTCTGAATCCGGAGAATTTCGTGCGGGACTTCCGTGATTCGTCGATGCTTTGGTCTGAGGACCTTGAGCATTGTGTGCACCATATCCATCCTTCTCTTCTCGGCCTCGTCGTGGGGAAACATATATTGTCCACTGGAGTCAATCTTATGTTAGCCGTTTCTAGGTGGTGAAATTTGAGGTGCTTACATTCTGTAGGCGCCATATTCTCGGCCAAATCGTTGCACCCTCGTCCTCCAGGGAGGCAGTTCGGGAGTCATCGCTGGTGTTGAGGAGGGTTGTAAATGGACTTCGAAGTTTGGAGGGACAAAGAAGTTAGATGCTTGGGATTGACCGTCAACCATCTTTTGTCCGTATATACCTCGACGGAGGTGGCCAGTTCAGGCTAGAGAATGGGCCACCCAAGCGTTGCCGTCACGGATTTTGTGACACTTGGTGACCCGGGTTAGAAGATGAAGTGGCTAGGATTCGGGTGAGTGCAGAGGTGCCCGACTGGGTCCCCAGAAAACCGGCCGTTCTCAAATCAACCAGCCCAGCGAGGAGGGATTGTATCACCACACATGAAAGCTGTTGCTTGGTGTTTGCGCCCGATGCGCGACTGAAATGCCAGGCGCACGAAAGAAGTGGCTTGCAGCGAAATGACTGATAGACAAGACACAGAGGGAGCGAAAAAAAGGCCTCAGGTGGTCTTCTTATTTTCCATAAATGGCTTCTGGCTAGGCGATCAGCGTAGCCCAACCCTTGTAGGAGCAGATTCGAAGGATGTGGGTATGTTGTATTGCGCTGGACTCTTCTCTTGCGTACTAGCTTGACCACTGAGCATTTGACATTCGTATTCAGGTTTGACGAGGCAGCGGGTCAGGGCTTGTGCGATGCACCCTGAGGGGACGGGAGGGAGGGGATGGGGGGGCATGGTAAAATCCCACCAGTTCACACGAAGGAGGGCCGATCTCGTCAGATGAAGAATTGCGAGCCAGCAAGAGCATCCACAAGAAGGGTAGACATCGGCCTTAGGGTGGAGAACTCGGGCAGCGTACAACAGGCCGGTGGAGTGATGCAGAAAAGTCAGGTAGCCGGGGGGAAACCCAACTGACGTCCAGATTTTGTCGTGGAAGAGACGGCTTAATGCTCCGAAACTGGGATGAGAAGGCTAGGGTGCCGTGAGTGCTTGCTCACAGTAGTCTGGCTGGAGAGGACAAGTCGTCGAAATGTGCAAAGAGGCTTGCAGAAAGCAGCCAACCATCGAGGGCATACCTACGAGTCTGAGGTACTGTAACTCATCTGAAAAGCCAAGTGGGTTACGGGTCGTTGCGCCCGCTAGCAAGCCAGATAGTGGATGACAGGCGCAGGTCGCCCAAAAGGAGTGAGTAGAAGTTGTAGATGTTTCCATGCCTAGATGCCCGGGTAGGTAGGCGTGGCAGCTGCCACCGGTAGCACCCCCGCAGCAGTTATTGTTTGCATATCAAGGTGCACGTCGGTGGGGGGTCCCTGGGTCCTTACTTGTCAAGTGAGCAAGGGAATTAATTGACCAGGGGCTTTCCAGACTGCTGGGACCCCATTCTGTAGGTCATCATTGACACCCGGCACCGCCGGGGCCTGGCAAAAGGAGGGGGGATGCTTGATTCCAGCGCGAGCCGAAGCGTCTTAACTAACCTAATAGCGAATGGGCACTCCCGTAGCTGGTTGGTAGAACCTTCCCAACACAGTGTGCCCCGGAGAGTGGCCCGAGTCTCCCAAGGTCAACGCTCCCTCTTTTTCCTCGGGTCTCCCTGATAGGTATAAGCAGCCCAAACATCGTTTGCTCGCTTAGGACGGCTAGGTGAGGTTAGTTACCTGCAGTGCAAGTACAAGTACAAGTACCCTCTTCCTATGTGGCATTTATAGCTGGCTTTGAAACAGACTCAAGCCCTGGCTCTGTGCTGTCAACCCGACCAAGTGCAAGTGAGTAGAAGGACAAAGGACTGTACATAGTGTTTGGGCTATTTTCCACTTGCATTGAGCCTTGTGGCCACAGTAGCAGGCTCTTGGTAGAGAGGTTTACTTCCAAGTCGCTGCTTAGGCTATGACTTCTCACGACCTTCCTAACAGAGGTGAGGGGCTTGCATGCACTTTCAACCTACGACTACCTTTCAGGACATCCTAGTGGCCCTGAAGGGGAGAGCGTGACTCTTCGGCATGCTTGTGGGCCCCGGGTGCCCCGTAGCCTATGAACTCGGTACTCGTTCTTGGTGGTGCTAGGCGCCAGATCTCTACCCCTCCGTACAACCTCAACTGACTCGTGCAGTGCCCGTGCTCCCGTACAAGTTCCTTGTACAGTAACTGCGCTGATCACTGTGGGAAACTCAAGCCACCATCATTGTTATCTTGTCCATGATTCGTTGCCTACAACCACTAACTACATCCTTTGAACTCAATATCTGTACGCTTTTTTCTTCCCAAATCCCGTTCATTACCTGTATGCCTTGCACACCGCCAGTTGTTTCCAGCATTCGTCCAAAAGGCTGAAGCGGTTCTATCACTGTCCTGACCCCCCGACTAGTCCAACCTAGTGCGCCGCCCTCTCTGCGATATGTTCCAAATCTACCAACCGCTCGCCAGCTGTGCGCCATCCACGCATGAAGACGTCTACATTTTTGCAATAGCCCCCGTCGCGGGACGCGGACTTGCTGCCATCACTTCTGCCGATGAGCTTCTTCTCCTCGATAGGGACAACCTGGCGGTTTCCAACCCCGTGGGGATTCAAGGGGTGCCCCATAGGCTCTCTTCGTTGGTGGTTGACGAGCAGGGAACAAGTCTGATTTGTGCTGGAGACGATGGGACCGTGGCAATTTTTGACGTCCGAACTCAGTCCAGTGTTGCCCACTTCAAGTCGGGTGAGCAAACAGACAAACCCCCTCTCGTAGTGGTGCTGAGGCTAACCGACTATATCTGCTGCAAGCCAAACCTGTCAATTCTCTGGCTCTCAGGCTGAACGATGTGGCTCTTGGCAGCGAAGCGCTCGTATCCGTCTGGTAGGTCCACATCTGGCTCTGTGTCACATTCGATCCCGTTTCCGTGCTGCCCAAGCAAATCAGCAACTGACCCAACCTGGTAGGGATCGAAGACAAGCGAAGGTCAGATGGCAGAATGCTGAGATCAACGATGAAATCACGGCATTGGGCTTCCACCCCTCCAGGGATAATCTGCTTCTGAGCGGAGGCGATGACGGTGTAGTCTGCGTGTTTGACACCCAAATTCAAGAAGAGCAGGACAGTCTGCTTCAGGCCGTCAACCATGGTCCAATTCACAAGGCAGGCTTCTTGGGACCAACAAATCTATACGCTTTGAGTTCGGACCAGAATCTGGCGCTGCACTCTCTCACCGTTGATGACGCAGATGCGGAAACAGATCAACCAGCACCGGATCAGTTGGGCGATCTGAGACCAATTATCCCCTGTGAATATGTGATTGACATCCTCCAAAGCGGCACGGACCATGTCGTGGCTTGTGGCTCGCATAGGTGCGTATAGCCTCGCTCCACCGCTGCCGTCTTCTCTCAACCCTGACTCTTCTGGCAGCAATTCTCGTGTTGACTTGGTCCGAGTGGGTCGAGGAACAGGCCTCAATGTGGAACAGCGAATTGTCCTCGAAAATGCCCATGGTGGAGAGGTTGTTCGATCAATATTTGCAGACGAGACCGTGGGTCAACTAACCTTGTTGATCTTTGCAAGCTCATGCTAACAGCCTCCGCAGGACGGTACAATTTTTACGGCAGGCGAAGACGGACGCATTATGGCATTTCGTCCATACAGCAGCGGTCTACCTACCACTCCTGTTAAAGGCACGAAACCCAAGAAGGTCACAGATACGAGATACAGACCCTACTAGATCGACCGCGCCTTCATCCAAGGGACTTATAATTCGGGCCTTCCTCGGGGCCAGAAGATCAATGACAAAAGACTGGGCTCGGGCCTTGCCTTCCGGGAAACGAGCGCAACAGACCGTCGGAACAACGCCGCTGGAGGTGTTGGCATGTTTGCCTTCATTCTTCAACATGACAACCCATAGCATAATTCGCTCGACATCATCCTGCAAGCATGCATCACTTTCTCATCTGCAGTCTTATACTTATTCAGGTTGCCCAGTCCCTCGGTGTCAACTGTCCCTGTGGCTGGCTCTTGGAAGAACAGCACCATGTTTATACGCACCGGCTTTATCACAATTTCACCCAATATCCTGATATTGATCTGCTTCTCAACAATCAAGAGGCTGCCACGTTCAACCGAGATTGGATGATCTACGATTATTAGCAGCGCGCCGACAATCCAACCATCCGCTTGAACGCGAAATATGACTGGACAAATGTCAAGATCAAGGGGAAACACCTTGTCATGAGGCAACGTGGCTACAGCCGGAAAGACCTGGATGCTTACGCGACGGTCAGCATTGCCGGTATCCAGAGTCGACAGATTGACATGCTCTACGGAACCTACCGAGCAGTTTTCAAAGTCGAGGGATCCAACGGTGGCGCCTGTGCGGGATTCTTTTGGTATCGTGTTAGCAGCCTCACGCTCTCCTTCTCCGCTTGAGGCTGGGATCTAACTGCGGCGCAGGACGACCGATCAGAAATTGACATGGAGATTGTCACAAAAGGCACTTCGCTTGTGAACAACACGATTAGCTTCACTTCACATCCGTCTAGCGCACCAGATGGCTCTCCCGTCCCAGGCGCGACCTTGGCCAAGTCATTAGACGAACCCCAATTCAACACGGACGTGTTTCGCGAATATCGCTTTGACAGCCACCCGGACCTTGGGGTCGCTTTTTACGTTGATGGCAAGCTTGTTCACAAGAATACCAACAACGTCCCAAAAGAGGGCGGCAACCTACAACTCAAGTTATGGGCGGACGGGAACCAATGGTGGAGCGGAACACCTAGCACTTCGGACGTATTTATGACTGTTGGGAGCGTTGTTGCATACTACAACACCACTAAACTGGACCCCGGTTGGTTGGACAAGTGCAAAGCTGCCGGAGGCCCAAGCAAAAGCACTATGTGCACCATCTAACTGCCCGTTTTTGACTATTTTGCAGCTGTGCTCGGGAGACACAAAGGATAGAGTCGAATAACATTCAGCAAGTCTGTCCCGTCCCAAGATCCATGCGTCGTTGACATGATGAAAAATGGTTAGACGAGCTGTCTTATCCAGCCGCCCAACCCGTCGTCTCTCCTCGACTCGGCTCGTGTCTCGGCCGCCACTACCTCGTAGATCTGCCCCAGTCCCCATGGTCTGGCATCGGCCCGCACCGACCAGCAGCCCTTGTCGCTTCTTGGGCCTTCACCGCTAATCACAGTAAAGAAGAGACCTAAGCGTAAACGACACAGGCAACGGAGAGGGATGCGGCACAGTGGCAGATCTAGGTGGTTACTAGTGGTCACATGTACTATTAGAAGCGATTTCTATTCCGGCGAGTTTTGATAGTCGACACATTCTAGAACCACACAATTGTCAAGCCAAATTCTATGGGGAAATAAAGTGCTCGTGTAGCCTTGTACGTAGAGGTTGTAGATACTCTCGCTTTTTGCCTCTTCTGCCCCTTTTGCCCCCCACAGTGAACCGTCGACAGCTTCACTTGATGACGGGCTAGATATCGACTTCCACTTTATTCCGGTCCCTCAAAGCAAGTATGGATGGGTGGTTAAGTTGTCTTGATTCCTCCAGCCAGCAAGCAGCAGGACTCTGAAAGACGAAGAGGGAGAGGAAGAGGGCGATGAATGAACCCCTCATTCTCATTCTCGCAACTCGTATAGATCCTTGAACCAACTCTTCTCGGCTCCGAGCAAGGCTCTCGGCTCGCCCACTTCGACCACCCTGCCCTGGCTCAGGACGGCGACCCGGTCCGAGTCCTCGATGGTGTTCAGCCGATGCGCCACGGCGATGACGGTGCAGTCGCGGAACCTCTCGCGGATGATGCGCTGCATGAGCCAGTCGGTCTTGACGTCGACGTTTGCGCTGACCTCGTCCAGCACGACAACTTTGCTCTGCCGCACCATGGCGCGGGCGAGGCAGAAGAGCTGGCGCTGGCCGTGGCTGAGAAAGTCGGGCGTCATGGTCGCGTCGAGGCCGCCTTTTTCTTGGATGACGGACCAGATTTGGCATTGTGTTAGTGTCGCGATGAAGATTGCGTCGCGGTCGCGGTCGCAGTCACGACGGCTGGAGGGATTTCCGGGTTCTGGTGCATTTGCAGCCGTCCACGGGTCCATGTTGAACCGCACAGACTCGGTCGTCACCCACCACGGTTCCTGTGGAATCACGTTGAGCTTCGCGCGGAGTGTCTCGCGCGGAACACGAGAGATGTCGACCCCGTCGATCTGGATCTGTCCACTGCGAAACTCGAGCAGGTGGAAGAGACTGGCCAGCATTGAACTCTTGCCACTTCCCGACCGCCCACAGATGCCCAACTTCTCACCACGTCGCACTTCCAAATTGATGTCTTTCAGAACCAGCATAGAGTCCTCCGAGTAGCTGGCTCCAAACCCCGTGAAGTTCAATTGTCCGTGCTCTGGCCATTGGGTCGGCACCTGCTCGACTTCCCACGCCTTGTGCTCGGATTCGATATTCGTGACAAAATCCCTCAGGCGGCTGATGGCACCGATGCTAGTCTCCAACATGGTCCAACACCGGACCAAGTTTGTCAAGTTGCTGCTCAGATTGACCGTGCTCAATAGACCCAGTCCCACGAGGCCCGGCCCGATGGATTCCCTCTTCGCCACAATAATCACCATCAGTATTGTCACAAGCCCCGTCACCAAGAGATCCAAGACGACCCCGAGCCACTGTTGGATACAGTACATTAAATAGAATGGCCGTTGGCTTCGATCCAGGAGCTCCAGATTTCGCTCGGCGAACTTATCTGCCCAGCCAAAAGCACGAACGCTGGCCAGTCCGGCGGCCGTCTCGCCAAACAGGGTATACAGCGGGGCCTTCTCCTCCAGGTCCAAAAGCCGCATTTGGCGGCTCGTTCGCAGATAGTATTTTTGGATTCCATACATGGCCGCGAGGACGAAGGGAATAGTGGCAGCAAAATATCCCGTGCCAGAGGCAGCCATCAGTCCAAGCCCGGCAACACAGGATACGAAAGAGAGCACGAAGTCGGCATATGAGAATGGCAGCTCGGAGTCGACAAGTGCCATGTCCTGGCCAAATCGGCTCGTGGCAGATCCAATGTCGGTGCGTGTGAAGAAGGATAACGGCGCGTTCAGGACTGCTTCCAGAAGGCTCAGGTGGAGGTTGCTAGAGCTTTTCGGTTGCATGTTGAGAAGGATTTGAATCACCAGGAGCACGATGGCTATTGCGGCAATGATGCATGCTATGCCGAAGATGATGATGAATATGGTCGCTTGCGAAGGAGTGTCGCCCGGGAATGCTTTGACCAACACGCCTGGTGCCTGGCTGGCAATGACGAAGAGAAATGCCCAGACAAGAGAGAGCAAGCTCGAAAGATAGCCGCAGGCACGAAACCAATGCTTGTATGAGGACCACTCTCCGGTCCTTCGCATGAGATCTTGAGCATTTTCATTCTCCTCTTCGACAGTTTGCGATCCCGTGGACACTTTAAGGAATGTTCCAACCTCGGGGGAGGACTCGACTTCTTCTTGCGTGGGACGTCGATGCTCCTTTCTCGATTGAACGTCAAGGCTATGGACGTAGCCACGTTGACTTACCAGGTGGGGATAGCTGCCCTGTTCGCAGATTCGACCATTCACATCGAGACTCACAATGCAATCTGCATGTGGAAGACGATGCACAGCGTGTGTAACCAAAATAACCGTGGTGTTCTGCCGTCTCAGCGGTCCGGAACGACTGAAGAGTTTCTTGAATATCAATTCCTCCGTGTCGTTGTCGAGGCCTGAGAAGACGTCGTCAAGCACAAGGATGGATGCCCTGGAATAGACAGCTCTAGCGAGAGCAAGTCGCTGTTTTTGTCCACCGCTCAGGGAAATACCTTTGGAACCGATCAATGTTTGGTCACCCTTTGCAAGGACGGAGATATCCTCCCCTAGTCCACAGCAATCGATGACCTCGTGGTACCAGGAGTCACCTTCGTATGGGATATTCCTTGAATCCGGGCCGCGAATGGTGTCCCTGATCGTGCCATTCTGGATCCAAGGCTCCTGATCAGCAAAGGCGACAGACTGATTCTGAACATAAACAAACCCATGAGATACCGGGGTTTCGCTCAAAATACCCTTGACCAAAGTGGATTTTCCACAACCCACGGGGCCAACGATCATGGTGACGCTGCCGGCATGGACGGATAGATCGATATCCTGCACAACAGGCGGACCATGCTCAGTCCAACCAAAAGAACAATCTTTGAGAACTAAAGCCTCTTCTACAGTGCTACTGCCAGCACTTCGCAACCGGCTCATCTCGAAAGCCTCAGTGCCCACAGTAGACCCGGCCCAGTGCCCGTCCGAATTATCGTGGTTCAACAATGAAAGCCGATTATCGTGGCGAGAGTTAGAGAGTAAATATTGCTGTATCCGTTCGAAGCATGAAAGCGAACTTGCTAATTGAGGACAGCTGTACAACAGATTCTGCATGGGGCTTTCAATCAAGCGGAATATGGTTAAGATGCTGAACGCGGTCGCTATATCGAGGGCTTCTCCGGTGTTGCGAGACCTGATGTAGTAGACCAGGAAAGTTGCAAAGGGTGCGAAAACGATATGTCCATTTTGGATGAGAACTTGATAATTGTTGATGATACGATACTTTTTGCATTCGCTGATCTCCCACTGTCGAAGTCCTTGAGTGCGATCCCTGATGATCGATGACATGCCGAGGAGTTTGACGTTCCTTATAGAATGTAGCAAAGCCGACGTGAACGAAACACGAGTCTGGACTGCGTTCAGCCATCGCTTTTGATACCGACCAATGACTTTGACCACCCAGGCGGTCCCCAGCATCGAGAGGACATAAACAATCGCTGGAGCATAGCACGCACTGCCCAGGCGCTGATACAGCAGATATATGGCGATTGAAACTTCGACAATGCTGGCCCAGGTGGTATGCACAAACACGAGTGGATCAACAATCCTCTGTATATCGGATGACATCAAGGTCAAAGACGCTGACGGGTCGACTGTGACGATGCTGAGCTCAAGTGATTTTTGGTAGAGCAGAGAAACCAGCCCGCCACGAACTTGGGTAACACAACGATTAAGAAGATGACGAGACATGGCCTCCAGAATAGCTTGAGCGAGATAGACCAGGAAGTATGCTCCTGTCAGTCCCCACCCGACAGCGGCCGTCTGAGTGTTGCGGTTGGAAACATACTGAATCGTTTGCTGAACCAGGAATGGCTGCGCAAATTTGGCACCTATGAGGAAGAGGCGAGGACAAGCCGAGACCAAAAGTTGCCATCTCAGAACATAGGCCGACACGAAGCAGAGGGTGAACCGGTGATGTCCTTTGGTATCTTCCCATGCTCGTCTGAAACGTGCAGCGACATTTACAGACGTCAGCTTGTCATCCAGGTTATACAGGTCGTCAACTCTCAGAGTCTTGCTAAACCCCAGCCTTAGAAGAGGGTTTAGCCACCAGAACACGGATTTGTTATAGATACCACTAGTGGCTTCCAGAGGAAGATCACGATATGGTTCCAGGAGTATTCCACGCTTCTCGACCGCTTCAGTGACCAAGACTCCCAGTTTTATCGCCAGCGACAGGGACAACAGATTAGCAATGCTTTTGGCGGCATATCCACGGAGCAGATAGAAGGTCCGCAGCTGGACAGCACCAAACAGCAACGAAACGATCAAGTAGAGCCCAATGATGGTGGAAGGTGTTACTGAACGCGAGTGCTCGAAGCACGACAGAACAAAAAGTACGCACGATGCTGCAAAGTCAAGTGCGGCTGCTGCAACAGAAGCCTTTGTTGCTACCTCGGAATTTGTTGCTCGAGCGAGAAGCACCGTCAGTTGTACTGTGACAAATGCGGACAGGAGTACCTGTGAGGGGTGAGCTATTCTGCCGATCCAGCTCTGTAGTGTAGTTCTCACAAGCTTGGTTAACCGGCCCAAGGAGGTATTGACCTTATTCGGTTTGCTTGTCAGCCACGCTGCCCTTGCAGTGGCAGAGACAAGGAAGAGGGCCGCAGGGAGGATAGTGAGAATTGTGTCTTCAAAGAGGACTGTAAAATCAAAGCTCCTGGACGGACCCTCGTATGCGGGACCGAACAGTGAATCTGAACTGTTGGATAGCAGGTAAGCCATTCTCACACGACAAACCTACCTCGATGTGAGCACATTGTGTAGTATGAGGTTGGATGTGGCCCTTGAGTATTGATATGTGTCTGGCCAGAATGATGCTGCCTGACTGAGCACGTCACTCAGCCCATGTAGGTTTCCCATGCAGATCATGTCTGTTCCATGTAACATCAAGGGCTCGCTCCCACCTCTTAAGATGTTGGAGATAGCCAGCCAGTCGGCGCAGGGAGAGTTTGCCTGGAGCCTAAAGTGGCATTGACCGTGGGCCGTTTGAGAAAGTCGGCCATTGACCTGTCTGGGATCGAGGAGGGACATAATATTGTTCTTTAGGCGGCACATCGTCGATAGTAATGACCGACCATTGACAGACCGTTTGTGTGGGACTGCGGCAGAGAAATGAAAATGTCAGACAAATTTCGAGTCCAAATTGCGGGTGTGTGGCACGTGAAGGGCCCGATATCGGCGCCTACATTCCCCGTCAGACAAAAGGGCAGCAAACTCGCATGTATTCAACATGCCAATTCAAAGTGGACAAAGTCACCTGAATTCATAATTACTAGCCACATTTCATCTGCACACACAACTCAAAGGAGCCAAGATGCCAGTGTACAATATTGTCGTCTTTGCTGGCGACTATGCAGGTCCCGAGGTATGTATCCTGTAGAGGTCGAAGGCGTCGCTAACGGTCGGATGCTTCTAGGTGACCAAAGAGGCTGTAAAGGTCTGTGAAAATCCGAGAGATCCTGAACACCTACGTTATAATCAGGTCAAATGAATGACGGCAAACAGTGACTGATGGAATGGGTGCGCAACAGGTCCTCAAGGTGGTAGAGAAGTGTTCCAAGGATGTCCAGTTCAACTTCCAAGACCATCTGCTGGGAGGGGTGAGTGTGCAGTCCCTTCCGGGGTACGAAAACCCGCCCATATTTCTGACCTGGTACTGTTCCGCAGTGCTCGATTGATGCCCACGGTACACCCTTGACGGACGAGGCCCTGAATGCTGCCAAATCCGCCCACGCTGTCCTGCTCGGCGCAATCGGCGGTCCCAAGTATGGCGTGGGCAAGGTCCGCCCAGAGCAGGGTCTCCTCAAACTCCGCAAGGAGATGGGCACCTTTGGCAATCTACGACCTTGCTTCTTCGCCTCTCCCAGCCTCGCCTCGCGCTCCCCGCTCAAGGAAGAGGTCTGCCAGGGAACCGACTTCATGATCGTCCGCGAGTTGACCGGCGGTATCTACTTCGGCGAGCGCGTCGAAGGGAAACCCGAGGACGGCGAGAACGAGTGGGCCGAGGACCGCGAACCGTACTCGAGAAAGGAGATCGAGCGCATCACGCGACTGGGAGCCTACCTCGCCCTGGCGAAGAACCCTCCGTCCAAGGTCTGGAGTCTCGACAAGGCCAACGTTCTGGCCACATCTCGCCTGTGGCGCCGGGTTTTTACAGAGACAATGGAGAAGGAGTTCCCGCAGCTCGAATTCGAACACCAACTGATCGACTCGGCCGCCATGATCATGGTGAAGAACCCCCGCGCCCTGAACGGCGTCATCGTCACGTCGAACTTGTTCGGCGACATCATCTCCGACGAAGCCTCCGTCATCCCCGGCAGCCTGGGCCTGCTCCCCAGCGCCAGTCTCAGCGGCATTCCAGACGGCAAGGGACTGTGCAACGGCATCTACGAGCCCATCCACGGCTCCGCGCCGGACATCGCCGGAAAGGGTGTCATCAACCCCGTCGCCGCCATCCTGAGCGTCGCAATGATGTTGTTGTACAGTCTGAACATGCCCCGGGAGAGCCTACTCGTGGAGCAGGCCGTGAAGATTGTCATCGAGAAGGGCATCGTCACCAAGGACATTGGCGGAGAAAACACGACCGTCGAAGTCGGCGATGCGGTGGCGAGAGAGCTGGAGAGCCTGTTCAAAGATGTGTGAAGGATACCGAGAAAGAATCCCCTATCTCTGTAGACTTTAAAACACCCACTCTACGTACCTAGAGGCGTGTGGCTGTTCTGCCCAAGGGTTACGGAAAACAGTTACGAATGAAAAGTTGTTCTCTCTGCACAGAAACCCAAACCCTTTTCATTGAACCTGAGAGTCATTGCATCTCGTCAAAAAAAATCCATCCATCACATAATATAAATGTCTGCTTGTACAGGCCCTTGTAGTCTGGGGCCTGGCTCATCGATATACATCACTTCATGATAGATACCGAAACCTTTCATCTGGTCTGTTGACCCTGTCGATATTCCCAACACCGTGGTACGCTCGCCCGTGGGTATCCAAAAGCCGAAGATTACCATCGCGAGCGCCCTTCCGTCTCTTCCTGCCCATCCGTCCGTATAAAATCCCAGGATCATGAGCCCAATCGTAGACTTGCACCTCGTAAAACGTGGACGACGTCGTCCAGTCAATGCGCGAACCGGTTGCTACCATATCAAGCCCTGCCATGTACCCAATCATGAATTCGTCTGTCGGCTCCTCTTGCTTCGTCGAGGCCAGCTTGTCTTCGTCTATTTGTCGCTCGTCGCCCAGTCCTCCGTCCTGGATCCTCGCCCTCTGCTGGGTCGCGCATACGACCACCTTGCCCGAGCATTTCCAGCATTTGTTCCATTTCCATGGGTATACCAGGCAAGGGGTTTTCTCGACCCCTAACGAAGCCATTTAAGAGGCCCATGGCAGCCTGGCCCGCTTGTGCATAATTGGCCGTCAGCGCTTCACGCGCTTGCTGGATGAAGTTCTGATTCATGTGGTGGTTCGCTCCATTTCCCAGCCCAAACACGCGAGCAGCTGGACCTTCACCATCGTCGCCTAGCCCCATTTGTTGCATGCGTCGAGCGAGCTCTTCATCACGGTTGACTTGATCCCGACGTCGGTCCATTTCTTGTTGATAGCGCATAGGATCCCCCATATTCGCATCAACAGCTTCGTAGTTGAACCACGGGCAGTCGCAGGATTTCCATTTCAAACCACATACCATACAGAATTCAGCCGTGCAGCGGCATGTCATATGATTGCAGCCTTCCTTCAACTCGACCATAGCGTGACAGCTGTAACATCTTTGCCAACCTTTCTCCTTCGCCGTTTCGATGAAAGCTTTTGTTTCCGGGTCCTTGGGGCACTCACGAGTCGTATGCATCTTTTGAGAACAAGTCGGGCAAACCTTTGTTTTGCATTGTTTGCAACGGCCTACTTTTCGACCATTTTCTATGGTGATGTAGTGTGGTTTAATCCAGGCGCCGCACTTCCGACCCGGACAATAGACTCGATTCTTGGTCTTGTATTCTTGAAACTTGCGGTTCCATAGTACCTTGAATTTGTCATCGAACAATTTCTCGACGTGCTTGAGTGCAATGTGCTGATCCGTACAGCACCGAGGTGGCATGTGCGCAGGATCGGAAACGGACATCTTGAAGACCCGCTTGAGGCATGTGTTGCACATGCGGTGCTTACAAGGCAGGAGAGCGGATTGCGCCACTGGAATTTCATCGTCACCGCAAGTGAGGCAAGAGACTTTTCTTTGTGGTGCTGGTTTAGGTGGCAGAAGTCCGCTCAAAAGGCCTGATCCCTTCTTGGGCGTTCCAGTGACCTCGGACTTTGCGACACCCACTTCAACCTTGGGTTTTACAGTTGTAGCGCTTCTCTTGATCTCGGGTTTCTGTGCTTTCTCGGTCACAATAGACATTCGACGTGGTAGCGGATGCGTTTCTTTGCCTGCGCAGGGTACTCTGGAAAATGCAGTCAGCCTGGGGTATGATGCCGGATGAATTAGACCTACTCATCAAAGACGTATACTTCCTTCCTTCTGGCTGGCTCCGTATACCGTCGCTCCGGCGCTCTTCGCGTTGTTTCCGTCTTTTTGGGCTTTTGACTTTGGGATTTCGTTCTCTGGGTACGAGATGTCTCTATCTGTGTTGCGCCCGTGCTGCCTGCGCCGGACGATCTTTCGTTTCTGGAATAAACGTAGTCATCTTCACTCTCGTCTTGCGCTACGGCTTGTCGATTGCTCTCCGTGCGCGTGGTGGAACGGCGCTTAGGTTTTCGATCCTCCCGATCAATGACCTGGCCTCGCACAGCCTTGTGGCGCTTGTCCTTCTCTTCGTCTGCTTCCGACGTCTGTGTCCGTTTTACATACTCGTACTTCATGTCTTTTCGGCGTTCCTCGGGAGATTTGGCTAGATATGTGAGTCTGGCCTTTCTGAGGGCATCGATATCGGCGGGACTATCGGCGGTGGCGGGCGATTTCGATGTCGTACTATCATCCTCGGATCGCTTTCGGGATTTTGGCATTCCAGGATCACCATGTTTGTGACGAGGAGTCTTCCTTCTCTTCCCCTCGTCCCCAGCCATGGCGGACTTCTTCACTAAAAGCAACCCCTTCAGATGACAGAACACCAAGATTTAGTGCGCTTGGGCCGCGGGATATTGTCCAAGAGCCAATCACTGAGATCTGCGAGCGACACCCACTCTCGTGGACTGGTAAGCAAGTTGGGGAGCACGCGGGTGCTGTGTGCTGCAGGGGTCACATCTTCTGGATTTGCTGGCAGAATATGTAGCCTTTGCAATGAAGCGGCCAATAGAGACACGCCAGCTGGCAGGCCGACCTCTGATGCAGGTGTGGTGAGATAGCTCAACCAGCCACCAGCCTCACCAGCCTGATCCTCTTGTCCTGTTAAACATCGTCATTACTGCAGCCTTGAGCCGGGCTGTTCCTGCAAATATGATTGGATGTAACGGATTAATATTCATGCGGACCCGAGCCCTTGAGTTCCCCTCCAGCGCACCCCTGGTTGGGAGAAGGAGAGTATCATCTCAATCCTCGACAACAGATCAAGTCACTTGAATCAATGAGACTTCTTGTGGATTACGTTGGCTGTAACTTGTGCCCGTCCGGGTCGTTTCCGGGAACCACTAGCAAAACCAGTTGCCAGGAAGCTGACTCTCACGCCCTACCACAACCCGAGTTCCATCATCGGAGAAATCATAAACCCTCCAATGAGGTAGGATTGTTGTAGCTTTCGGATAGAAGCAGGCCTCGAGAAAACGTCCGCAGAGCATTCCCTGGGCTATCAATTGACGAGACGTGGTGTTGATCTAACCAGGAAAACCATGTCCAACTCAATCATATTTGCGAATCCGCAGGCTCGATCCTACACACACACGTACGATGCAGATATAACCCTTGCGCAGGCTTTCCACAAGCGCCTCCCTGGGTACAAAAAGACCCCGATTGTCCCCCTGGACGATCTCGCCAAAGAGCTAAATGTCAAAGCAATCTTCGTCAAAGACGAAAGTAGCCGGCTCGGATTGCCGTCTTTCAAGATCCTGGGTGCTTCATGGGGTACTTTCCGTGCGATCGCTGAGCAGCATGGACTTGGCCTTGACTCGAGCCTTGAAGACGCTTCAGTTGCAGCGAAGAGGTCGAGGACAACACTCTTTGCGGCTACCGAAGGAAACCACGGCCGGGCTGTCGCGCGAATGGGCAAGATACTGGGCGTCCCGGTTCGGATCTTCATGTCCAGATTTGCTGACGATGAGACCTGCCAAAAGATCGAGGGGGAAGGCGCAGAAGTCACGGTTATATCCGGCACCTACGATGATGCCGTCTCAAAGGCCTTTGAGGAATCACAGAAGACGCCAAGTGGCCTTCTTATTCAAGACAATGCATTCGACGGATACGAACAAATTCCGGCCTGGATCGTGGAAGGCTATTCAACACTCTTGTTTGAAGTCGAGGAGCAACTCAATGCCCAGGAGCTGGAAGCGACCATGATTGTCACTCCCATCGGTGTCGGCTCTTTGGGTCACTCTGTTGCAGCTTTTTGCAAGTCTGACGGCAGACAAATTGGTGTGGTGGCAGTAGAGCCTGAGACCGCTGCATGTTTGCATCAAAACCTCCGATCCGGCGAATGGAACACAATCGAAACATCGGCAACCATCATGAACGGTATGAATTGTGGGACTGTCTCTCCTATCTCCTGGCCGATCCTTTCCAGAGCAGTCGATATCAGCATCACAGTCTCAGACTTGGAATGCCATGAATCCATACAGTATCTCCAATCCCATCATGTCAATGCTGGGCCTTGTGGAGCCGCGGCACTTGCTGCAATCAAAAAAATCAGCTTGACAGATTCTCCTCCCGCAGGATTGTTGAAAGATGCTGTTATTGTGCTGTTAAGCACTGAGGGCGCGAGAAGCTACACCTCTCCTAGCATAGCTCCTTAACGTCGATGAGCTCGGACGGCGAGTTAAAACCGCATTAAGTCGCCACAGGAAAGGAGAACGACTTGATGAATATGAAAAGCCGCCAAAATTGCGTTGAAGAACTCGATAAAACCCTATAGGTACTTCAGGAATAAGGCGTTTTGACGTTGTCTAGAAGTCCTCCCTTGGCCTGTGTTGTCATTGTCGACTTCTATAGTAGTTGCCGCTGTTACAATGGTCATCATCGTTCAAGTTGTGTTGAGGCGCAAAGTCTACCAAATACCTGACGCTCCCAATTGAGGCGCACGTTTACTCTTCGCACAAGTCGTTCTCGTGTCTGACTGCCGCTGATTGATCAAAATCAGGTCTACACTACAATCCCAGAGTTCACGCCATGTCGGATTCAGAGCCTGACCACCGAGAACTCCAAGAAATCCTGAGACGGCTCGCTCCCCCCACGTATCAAGGTCAACAAGCCGAGTTCGCACGGAGACGCGATCCCGGGTCGCTTCAGTGGTTTCTAAACTCAGAGCCATATCAGAAATAGGTCCATGCAAAGCCCAATCCTCCGGATCCAGAGGAGCAAGCGCAGGATTTCCGAAAGCTCTTCTATCCCGGCCAGCGGGTGCAGGCAAGACAATTCTTGCCTCCACGGTGATCGAGGGCCTCAGCTGTCGCTTTCCGCCCGGCTCCTCTGCCTCGAAGATAGGCATCGCGTACATCTACTGCGTCTTTCATCTTCACAAAGAACAAGCTTCCAACCTTTCTGGAGGATATGCCCGACCTCCGGCAGGAGATCGCTGATACTATTATCAGGGCAGCTGATGGGAGGTGAGTCCTGCAACTGTACACGCTTTGGCACCTAACTTAGAGATCTGTGTTCAGATTTCACCTCGCAGTGCTCCACGTCCACTCCCTGGCTGGAAAGCCGACCGGAAGCAATCCGAGCCGTTCTCTCTGGCGTGGTTGCTACCCCCAATACCACTAGTACAAATGACTACAACGCGGCCTACGACGCCGCGATGAAGCAGATTGAGAGGCAGAGCCTAAAACCAGGTCGAACTAGCCAAAAGAGTTCTCCCGTACGTACTATGTGCAACGAGGCCCCTGACTGTTACTGAACTGCGTCATGCGGTCGCTGTGAAGGCGAGCAACACCAGGCTCGAGCGGGCGAGCATGCTGCATATTGACGCCGTCATTGCTGCATGCACAGGGTTAATTAGCCGCAAGCCGGAGTGTTATAAAAGACTATTGACATTGAGCCAGGTCCATATCGAGTTAAGGCTTCAAGCAGAGGAGCATCACGTTGAAGATGAATGGCCACTTTGCCAACAGCTGCGCTGCCTCACTTTACACCATTCGAAGAACACACAGAATTGACGTTAGCAGAGCTCGTAGCTGGATCGACCGCTGCATGGTAATTATTAGCCTGAGGTTTGCAATAGGAATGTATCTATCCCGTCGTTTCCTGTCCAGTAAATCAAGTCTGTTCGGTCGTTGGAGTGGACCAACCACCGTCTCCACTCACCCAGTCAGGCCCCTTAATCCCCTCAGCCTCGTCTCCAGCCGTCGTCTCGTCCACAGCTTTTCAGGGTCATGGTCCCAGCAACTCCATTTCATACCTCGATGTCACGAAACACAAAAACACTCGGTGGAAAATCCATCGCCACCGCAAGAGAAGATATGTCAAGCTCGAAATATAGACAGTGCGAAATTCGAGGCGAAAAATCTCCAACCCCTTTTGTGATTCTACTTTCCTTGTATCGACATTACGTTAGGTATCTTTTTGACTCGCTCAGGCACAGCCCGGACGCGAATACTGCATGGTATCATATCTCACTTGCTCAGGTGGTGGTGGTGGTGGCTCGGCTCCGTCAATGCCGTTGGAGTCTGTCTCTTTCTTCAAAAGTCTCCAGCATGTCATCAAAGTTGCTGCGTTTGTCCAGCTCGCCCGTTTCCAACTTCATTTCAGGCATAACGCTGACGCCAAGATCTTTTGTCACGCCCATCGCCCTAGCAACAAATCATCCTCGTCCAACTATCCAATATGGAACCCGTCCTATACGCCCTTCAAATGACATTCATGGCCAACACTGACGTTGCGCGCTCAAGAACCTTCACTACCATCAAAGACGCAACATGCACTCAATATGCAGCAGTGGCTTCGTCCTCGCTATCAATCTGGTTTGGACTGCCTCTGAATCTAGTTCTTTTGACGGCACTCAATTCCCCCTTGGATCCACTTGATCCAGCGAGCGGTCTCGGCCCTGAGGGCTTTCGTGTCTGACTCTGTGGCGATCTCAATGCTGCGACGGGAGACTGCATTTTGTCAGTATTGACGTCACGAGAAGTGGATATCTTAAACGTACCTTGTCGAATGCTGGACTTCCCGCTCTTGCTGCAGCAACATGGTCGACGTAGGTCGGCTGTCTGTTTGATGAAGTGGGACTCATCGTCATCATCTTGGCTGGACGTTGCGGCACCAAAGGCTCATCATTAGGGATCTTCGGCGGCCGAGGCGGGCCATGAGAGCTTCCAGATCGAATGCTCCTATTGTCATGCATTTGGCCTGGCTCTGCAGAGTACGGTGAGTCGGAAATGGGGCTGAGGTGTCCTCCATAGGTGATGGTCGTGTGATGGTTCGGATGCAGCCCAGAGTGAGTCTCCCACTGCGACGAGGTCTGCGAAGTCGGTGAGATCTGCTCATTATTATAGTACTGTGCTTCGGATTCCAGACGAGACTGGAAGCGCCCTGTTGGTCCTTGTCGAGGTTGTGGATGCTGAAGATTGAGGCTGTTTCTGTGAGCCTGATACTTGGGGTTGTCCGTCAACTGGCTTGGAACCAAAGGAGACGGTGGCCGGTTCTCTATATCATCATACTGATCTCGCAGGAATGAGGTATTCGACCGAATCCGGTCATCCCCTTGAGGATCATGCTCGAAGTCATACTCTCCGAGGTTGGATCCAGACCGAGAGTGCTCTGAGTAGGGTCTGACTCGTTGCTGACTTGCGCGAAAATTGTCAGCAGATGATGAAGTAGTCTTGGACCACCGAGACACCATTTTAGGAATAAAGGAAGATGCAAAAGACTTGTGCTTCCTTCCAGATGCGTCTCCCGCCGAGAGGTGCGGTGTATTTTCATGACTTAGCGACCCCGTGTTTTGGTCCTGCGTCCGAGGTGGTGTGTTCAATGGAACCGAACCACCTCTGGTTTGTCGAATTCCATCATGTCTTGGGGGCGTGTTCAACGGCGTGTGGCTGACGACTTGTGCATTCCCGGCTGTAGCACTGCCTGCATTATTCGCATAGTCGTCATATTCTTCGTCGCCTTCCATGACTGTGCTCACTCGGTTACCAGAATCTCGATGTATATTGTAGTTGCGGTAGTCCGCCTGGCGAGAGGAGTTGTTGGAAAAATATCCAGAGCGATCACCAGTTGATGAGGTCCCGGCTTGACCCTCTGGCTCATATCCTGTGTCTGTTGGAGCACGAGCATTATCCGCAGAGGCCAAGCTCGTAGATCTAGGCTGTTCCCTTGTCACTGTGGTAGGCTGCGAAACCCTCAGTGCCTCAACTTCGTCCAGAAGACGCATTAGCATTGCCTCAATATTCTGCAACTCTTGCGAGTTCTTAGCACCCAGTCCTCTAAGCGCACGTTGAAAGACGTTGCGGCGTTTCATTGGCGTGTCCTCCTCCGAGGTTGCTGACATCGTTGGGCGAGAAGGAGCTGTAGGTTGTGGTCGCGGGCCCCCAATGACCTTTTGTGTCCTTTCGTGTTGCTTATCAGCAGTGTCCATGATAAGATCGTCCTGTTCTGCGATAAACTTTTTCATATCTTCAAAGGAGTTGCGCATCTCTGCAGCACTGCGAACCAGCGTCACAAGAATTTCTGTGTCTCTTGCGTTTCTTTGGGCGTCGCGCATCGTGAGATGATCCATGAGAGCCACGATATCTTTGGACTGGATATTATCGCGTCCACGACCTGTTGCACTGTCATACATGGGTGACATGCCATGCGAAAGCCCACTGGCATACTGGTCTCGCTGGGTGGTGAAGGGATCATCTGCAATAGGGACATTGTCAACTGGTGCTTCCGGTGTAAAGCTGTCTCGCACTCCTCGACCTTGAGAATATAAACCTGGGGATGGTACGTTTGCTCCGGTCTCGTAACCTTCATCCTTAGCCCCGATAGGTGTCGACAAAGGTTGAGGCTGTATATAGAGGTCACGTTTTGGCTCCAGGTCATGGTCACGGTTAATAGACAAGGCTTCGGGGATAAGATCTGTGCCGGCTGAACCAATGTCGCGACTCACGGGCGGGAGCACTAGGTTAGCCCGAGAGTGTGGAGGTGTTGGATCATAAGGCCAGTGTTCTGTGTTGCCCTGCGCCAGACCGCCTATCGGACCTCGGATGATGGACGGATTGGTGGTGATGTCTGATTCAGGTGAACGTTCCACAGGACCACTGGGAACATTGCTGGTAGCCAGAGGCGCTGGTTGCGCTGATTTGGTCGAAGCCTGTTCGTAATGTTCAAGTGATTGAGCGGGACTCTGTGGAGGAGACGACATCATAGTCGTTGGACCCGGGGCGAAGTCGTGTGTGCTCGCGCTATGGTCTGAAAGTTGCCGTTTAAGCGGGCTGCCACTGTGTGTCGAGACGTAATCATGGTGGGATAGCTGAGGGCTCATGACCCGGCGAGCACTGAGGGAGTCTGCTTGACTGTGGCGGGGTGAATATGTATGCTCGGCGGAGAGAAGTGAAGGTTCAACTAGGGAGGCAACTGCAGACTCGATACCTGACGGTTCTTCCACATATTCCGCGGTTGATCCAATGTCTTGAGCGACGACCTCTTGGCCCGCTGTGACTTTGTCGATATAAGGCGAGTCATGGTATCCGTCGTCTTCGAGAGCATGTTCGCCGAATGTGTCTTCATTCACTCGGCGAGGAGTGCTCTCACGAGACTTTACATGTTGAGCCATGACTTCACTCCGGCTCTCCAAGCTCATTCCATGGGGCCGCCTTGAGCGGGCCAGGTCAGTGCTAGGCGCGGATGATAGAGAGGAAACGGAGACTTGGTCGTCGGCGCGCATATGCTTGCCCGGCGAGTGCAAAGAGTCCGAGCTGCGTGGCTGCATCATGGAGTTGCGATTGGGTTCTGTTGTTGCATAGCTGGCCACGCTCTGTATTGGACTGAGACCCCGCCTAATGGGATGCTGTTGATGAAGATTTCTCTCATATTGACGAGCCCTTTCTGGATCTGTCAGAGCTGCAAATCCGTGCGTAGCAAAATCCAGCTCGTCTGCCTCCGATGACTTGTCAAAATTGCCCTCGTCGAAGACTTCTTTCTTTGACAAGTCATGGGTTGACAAGTCGTGCTCCGAGAAGTTACCGTGGTGGGTACCCAGTCCTCTCTTCAGATCGACAGCGTTAGAGGTGGGTGTTGCTTGGGATGCTGGCGAGGAGAGTTCGAAAGGAGATCCACGTATCACTTCGCGCACTTCGCGACGAGTTGGTGTCTCCGCCCGTCCGTCATTTGAGGACTTCAGGGAGCTTCGAGTGAGATCGGTACCAATCTCGCTAACAAATGGCATCGGCGGTACTTGATGTTTCTGAAAGACATCATCCTTCTCTGTATAACTTGCGCTGCGACTGCTGCGGCTTTTGCTCCTCCGCCTTCGACGGTGCTCTGAATACTCCAAACTCGATCCCGAATCGTGCGATTTTAGGGCTGCGGCTGTCAGGGCTGCAGCTCCGACAGCCCCAGCTGCGGCGTCACGGGCATGCCGACTTTTTGAGTGCCTACGTGACTTCTTCTCATCACCCAAGCTGTCGACCGACTCGGACGGCGCGTAGCTGTGCTCCGAGGGTGAATCGTAGTCGACGGTCTTATGACGTCTGTGACGGCGAGACGAATCTGAAGGCAGACCAGATTCAGACTCTCGACTAACTCGACGCTTGGATTTGCTTCCCGATGATCTGCGACGATCCTCTCGTGACACAGTACTGGAGGACACATCCGAGGGATTGCTATACTTATCGTGCCGCGATCGGTGGGAATGCTTCTGGTCCCGGCGCAACTCATTGAGCTCGGGCAATATAAGCCTTCGGATGGCATCCTCAACCGTTTGAAGCAGTTTCGGATTATTCGTGACTGAGACATTTGATGTCCCTGAGCGGGCTGATCGTTGATCTGTCGCCCGGGGATCTCCAGACAATTGAGAGCCACTGATACCACTGGAGCCAGTAATGCTATGCATGGAATCATCGTCTACATTCTTTGTGACCCGAATTCGCGGCTCGGTGCGTAGAGACTCTGCTTCTCTGCTCACACTGCTCCGACTTCCACTATGGCTACTGTGTTGGCGCTTCCCACTGCTTGACACTCGTGGTTTATTGCTCAACTTTTCGATGACTTTTTGCGTGATGCGTTCATTGCTCAAATTGCGTTCGGTGGAGATGACAGGTGGTTTCAACGAGGCTCCTTGAGAGGACATGCCTCGTGTGATACTGACACTGTTGCTAGAAAGCGACATGTTGAGAGGTGGATTGGTACCCAGTGAACTCTCCGCTGGCATGGACGAAATGTCGGATTCTGGGATGATGGACCTGGTCTCTGGAGGGGGACTCAAGACGGACCTGTCACTATCTTCGTCCTGTAGAACTTCGACTTCGATGGGGACCGTAGGCCTGAAGTCGTCGGCTGTATCCAAGGAGCTGATGCTGCCTTCAATGACGTTGGGCGCAAGAGTCTCGTTTCCTCCAAGGGAAATGCGGTGGCTGAAAGAAGGCCTCCTCGCCGTCGGCGACTCGGTGACCAGGATGTGACGCTCGCCCTTGTCTCTGTTCTTCCGGGTATGTGATGGTGTATAGCGAACTCGTAGGCTAGGACGCCTTTGTCCAGAATCGGAAGTTTTTCCTCCTTCAAATAACTCAATGAGTAGCGAAGTTTGAGACTGTTGACCGGACTTTGCTAGTTTTCCAATCGTGCGCTTGGGTGCTGGAGTGATGGTAATCGGGCTTCCGTCGTCAGGTATCGTCTCGGAGGTCTTCTCACTTCGTCGAGAGAGATCGGTTCCAAGGTCCGTACCTAGACCAGTTTCGTCGGCGGACTCTAACAACGAGTCTGTGGGCGCAGGCAGAATTGGGCGTCGACTCGAAAAGCCCATCCTGATGCGGCTTCAAGTTTGCTGGGTCATGGAGCACATACGCAGGGGTTGATGCGCATGTGCCCTTCGGTGTCCTTGTTATGATCTTGTAAATAACCTTGGAGCGGTCATGGTTGGTGGACGAGCTTCGTGGTGAAGTTTTTTTTGGTGTCGTTTAAAAGTGAGGATTTCGAAGTTATTCTGCCGGCTCTTGTTGGGGCCAGCGTCGATGGCGGCGAATGCGATCTTCGTCTAACCGCCAAACGATCGCCGGAGAGCGAAGGCACGGAACAAAGGATAGTGGTGTAGTTGAATTTTGGTCGCAGGCGAATAATTGTGAGGCTGGGTAAAGGTCGTAGTGCGGAGACCGCAGGTAACGGTGGTGACACGACAGATTCTCAACGGGAAGTTTTCAGGTTTCCATCAATTTGAGACAGAACGAGGTTGGCAACGCTCAAAAGTATCATCACTGTTTGGCAAAACAACAATCGCTAGAATGGCAAAGCACAACGAGGAAAGGTGGAAGCAGAGGCGGTGGGTTTGGGCTGAAAGCTGCCAGAGAGCGATGCTGCGCAGCGCAGCACTACGTACTTAGTTGCAGGTGAGATGGATCGGGGGACGCGGAGGGTACCTAGGCGTGCTAGGTCGCCAAGTGCTTAGAGAGTCTGGCTACGGCGAGCCTATTAGGCCCCAATCAGTCTCCGGACCTTTTTTTCCCGGGTGTGTGTCGCTAAAGAAAACAGTGTTCAACAGGCCCGTCCCCGACCAGTCAGGATTGAAAGCACACGCCACCAAGGCTCCTGCCACCGTTATTGGTTCACCGCCCAAGGCATGGACCTTTCCTTCACGCTCACTTCCGCTGCTCCACCACTATCCGCCTAGCCATCCTGATAAAAATTCCCCGGGAACGAACACCTGGGTCTCGTTGACTGGTCCAAGACTCCGTATTCTGTGCCCACCGGAGTATCAAAAGGGAGATGGGCCAACCCAGAAGGTCTGCCCCCTGCTTTTCAGTTATGCTTATTGTTGCAGCCATGGTTGCTCACAAGGGGGCCATTTAGGGTCGAACGTCATGCATCCAGACAGAGAACAGGCCACTGAAGCACACTCACACAGATCTACAAAGACCTTGCGCCAGGAATATCAGGTTTCCCCCTCCGCGAACCGCACAGCTAGCGTAGGTAATAGCCTTCCATCGACAGCGGTTTCTCGCTCACTCACCTGTCCATTGGCCAATGCCCTATGCATGCATAGCTGCAAAGTCACCTGTTGATGCCGCCACCCATTCCTCTCTCCTCTCTGCTGGGTTGTTGACCGCCTGGAAATGTGGCCGGAAACGGAAGAGCATGAAGGCAAACCAAGAACTCTGAACAGAAGGACCAGAAAAAGAAAGCGAAGGGAAATCCGAGGAAGCGGTTGGCTGGCCAAATGGCCAAATGAATGGGTCAGCCACACTCGACGGGCCTTTACCGCCGTTGGCTCCACCCAACGCCCACAGCTTGATTCTCATGATGTTAGAGGCTCCTAGGATAACAATCTTTTCGGTTGTACGGGCGACCACTTGTGACAAACAGTTTCAGGCTTGCAGCACCCTCATACCACCTTTCCATTCGTCACTTTCCAGGTCGCAGTCGAGCGACACTCTTTGGACTTGCCAACACATCGGCCACCATCCTGCCAATGGATTGCGCTGTTCCACTCCATCATTCATGCACGTTATGCTCGTAAGTGCGAGTGACCTGAATGCGTTGCGCTACGGATGCTGGCGACTGTGTTACCTTGTTTCAAACAGGGCAACATTGTACCGAGTAGGCTGGTGTTCTTTGCCACGTGCCCTGTTTACTCCTCTGAGTCCTTACGCTGAAGCCTCTCACTCACACACAATGCGGGCTTCCAGGTGTGACAGAGGGCATCACAGGAGCGACGGGGACATCGTTTCGGTAAGGCGATATGCGACTCTGAATAAAATAGATGTTGTGTCACGCTGGAATCCTACCGGAATTTTCTACTCGTCTTCACAGACAGCTGTTCATGCCCGACATCACAAAATCCGTTCGATACGCTTGGACCACCCTGTGCACTGTGCATACCAGCTTTGCGGAGCTACGAGCGTAGCGGATTGTAGGTACCTCAGTATTCGTTCCCACAAGCACCTCCACCAATGGGATCACAACTCTCGCGATCTATGTCTGTGCGTTTTCCGCAAACCCATTCTCTAGGATGTCTATAAGTTCATCAAGGCGTCTGATGCTGAGACCCGTATACTCGTGCTTAACTAATTCCTGGTTCTCATCTTGAGCCAATAACACCGTGGCCGCGCCAGCTCTCCAACCTGCTGCCATGTCGTCTATGCTATCACCGACCATGATCAAGCCGGAACCCAGATATCTCCTAGCCAGTTCCAGGGGATCAAACCCATCAGCTGCCTCGACTGATCCTTGGACTTGGCCAACCTCAATTTCTCTATCCAGACCCCAGGCCTGAGCAATCATCCACAACCCTTCCGGGCTGGGCTTCGGTTCCACGCCCTCAGACTCCCTGGTGATGATGGGCTCAAACACATGCTCAGGTAGGTGATTGCTCAGCAGATGATGCACGGGGGCCGGGAAATTCCTCGTGCAGAGTGCCTTTCTCACGCCTCGCTTGGTGAGGTAGTCCATGAGTGCCTGCAGGCCGGGCTGCGGACGTTGTGAGGACATGGCGTTGCGCTCAATGGCTTGGACCTTGGCGACCGCGCGAGCCTGGGGCGATAAAGGGGGCGGATCGGGAATCTTGTCGCTGTAGGGAGACAGCATGTCTTCAGAAGGAAGCTGAAAGGGGTTGATCGTCGAGTGAGGATGCGGTCTTGTCGACTCTGAATCTGCTCCACCGTCACTGCTGGCGACCGGGACGTCGGGCTCATTGGAGAGCGTGCGGATGTGATCGAGAATGTCGACAGACCTGGGTATTCCCAGCGCCTCTCGCATCTCACGGAACATGTAATTCTGAGGAAGACTGGTGGTGTAGAATTCTCGGTCAGGACTCACGTTCGCAGAGCACAAAGCGCAATTGAACAGACACGAGTAAATCCAACGAATGAGTCACTCGAGTGGGTGGGTAGATACGCACCACAACGTCCCGTCCATGTCAAAAATGATGCCCTGCAGCTTTGGCAGGTCGTGCCCCGTCTCAGCGTGGGGATTGAGCGGCGCAAACCGCTTTGGTTCTCGCCGGCGCGCCGTCGCCTGTGCGCTGGTCGAGGCTGCGGCCGAGCCTGATAGAGCCGTTGATGTTGACATTTTCCCTGGAGTACGCGGTATCCTTGATCGCGGAGCAGGGATCAGTGGTAAGGGACGATACCGAGCAGAATAAGGTCTCGATGCAGCAGTCGAGGTTGACGTTGAGGTTGAGGAAGAGAATTGCCGCTGGACAAGGTGATCAGTGCGACAGCGAAGATGGAGGAGACGACAAGCTGATCCACGGGACCCTATCGACGGCGCCAAACATGTGAGGGATTTCGAGGAAGGCGTCGCACTCATAATAATGGCATGAGATGAAGTTGCAGGGAAACCACCTTTTTTCTTTTTGCGAGAATCAACCCATATAGCAATAGTGATGAATGAATGACGAACGATGTCGGCGACGGGAAAATCCGTCTCCACGGACCAAGCAACGAGCAGAAGCACAAGCATCTGGCAGCCTTGCCTGCAACAGCCTTGCCACGACCCCCTCTGGTTCAGTCTCGTGATCTCGACGCGCACTTCTATTCCATCGTTGGAGGATCCCATCGTCGTCTCATTCGCCCAGTCGTGAATGACTTTGACTATGTATATCCCGGATCTATTGTACGAGCCACGCGCCCCTCGATTGACTGGGGAACAACATCAGAATAGAAGAGGTCAAAGTAAACGCCCCTTATAAATATGTATCCGTGCCTCCAAGTAGCAGCCTTTATATCAAACAAAACATTTTTATGGGTTGTCGTGATGTACCTTTAGACGCTCGAGCACGTTTTCTCTTTGCATATCGCCTCTGCACCGACTCCAAGAAGGCCCCCTTTAGCCATGCCAATAACTCAACAAACGAAGCAATGCTGTGCCGTGCCCTTGCCGTGGGGGTATAAGATGCTAGCAATACAAAGCTCCAACCCATTCGCCAGCGTTGCATTCAACAAACACATCTCGGGGCAAAGCCAGAGGTAGAGCCTGTGCCATCATTCACGCATCAAAATCACCGACGTGCTGCTCTCGCCTCTTCGTCGAATGCTTCTTGAGCTTCTCTCTCAGCTCGTTCCTCTTCATCCTCAACAGGCGCCGTAAGGAATTCGTGCTGCAACGCCTCCCTTGCCGTCATTCGTTTCCCAGCGTCAAGTTCGAGAAGTCCGTGCAGAAATGCCACTGCTTGAGCTTCTCCCGGCCGAAGGCTGTCCTGCTCTTTCTCACGGCAACTGGCCCAGATAATGATCTTTTCAAAAGAGAAGCCACGTTCGCCAATGGTCTCGATGTTGGTTTCCAAGACCTGGCCATGCATTGCTGCAACAGCTTGCATCTTCTTCCGGCCGAATATAGAAGCCATCTCAATCATGGCATCGACGTCATCAGCGCTGTTGAAGAAGGGAAATCGTCGTGCCAGAAGGGTGAGGAGGATCACTCCAGCTGACCAAATATCGATTTTGGTGGTTTGGGAGGTGCATTTCAACAAAACTTCGGGTGCTCGAAAACCCCGGGTCCCTGCTCTGTTTGCTCTCCGAGATGGTCGGCTGTCATTCTTGGGGAAGCCGGTCGACATCTTTTCAGGCGACGACTGCATAACCTGCACCGCATATGAATTGACAAATTTTTCTCTTCTTCTCTCCCTGGACTCAGTACAGAGACATGGTTGCCAGTCGGTTCCTTGCCTCTCAGCCAGCCCAAAGTCGACCAGAACACCCTGCCGCCTCGAGTGGTCGTAGAGGAAATTGGTGGGCTTGATGTCGCGATGTAGGATTCCCGCTTTGTGCACATGGGCTAGACCGTTGAAGAGACAACGAAAGTAATGCCGCATGTCATTGATAAGGAAGTCGCGATAGTACAGGCGAAAATCGAGGTGCCTAAAGTATGGAAGTACCGCAACGACCTGGTCGAGGTGGCGGAAAGCTGTCAACAGTGGACAGATGTATGGGGAGTGGCGTAGTTCGTATAAAAGCTCGAGCTCATTCATGATGCGGTGAGGTGAAGATGTCACATAGATCTTCTTCAACGCGACAATCAGACCCTTCTTTCGTGATCCGTTGACCGTGCTTGATGCAACGCTTGTTTTCCGCCTCTTTGAAGGGGGCATCTCGGAATAGGATTCGTTTGTAGGGTCTTCGTTTTCCTGGTCTAACTCGTCCGGCTGAGGTAGTGCTTCAGCCTTGTAGACGGTAGAGAACGTGCCTGCGATGTAGAGGTCAGTGGACGCACGGGCCAGCGTGGCTGAAGGAGATGTCAATACCTTCGCCAATGCGGTTGATCAGTCGGTACTTCTGGGAGATGCCTTTGAAGCTTTCCTCGAGTCGGCGCATGTCATCGACTACACTCTCGTCGACATCGTCCTCATCGCTCTCTGAATCTGACACGGATTCCGCGACAGAGTCCTCTTCTTCTGCCTCGAACTGAGCCATATTGTCCACGTCTCCTTCACCACCACGAAGGTGTTCTGGTGCATCCTCGTGGATGGCAATTGAAGTGTGGCCCATGTTAGGTTGCTCGGGACTCTCTCTCACTTCTTTCCCTGGGATCCCTGCTGCGGGCCGCCGTGCCTTCTCCCGATGACGCGTGGACTCAGACTCGCGTTCAGCTTCCTTCTCAGGCGTGTCTCCCAACCCGGAATCGCTTAACAAGACATGGTAACGCGACAGGAATGCCTTGGGCACCTTTGTAGACAGTAGAATGGTCTGTTTTGCCTGTAGGCTTTTAAGAACGCCTCTGGCAGTCTTCGCTAATTTCATGGTGCTTGTGTTTGTATGTGGGGCATATCCGCCAGCGCTGATTAGGAAATTCGTCAATAAATCTTATCGCGAAGCCAACAAACGGTCGGATGGTCGCAAACCTGGTCGCATTCAGTCTTTGGTTCAGACTTTGTTGTTATTGACGCTGACGGAGTAGCAGCCTGATCATTGCAAAGCTTGTGGCCACCGCTGTAATGCTTCTGTGAATGTCCCACAACGTTGACCACGACCCGCCAACGTCAACAAAACACATGCGCTCGAGTTAACAAGGTCTTCATATCTCAACCATTGATCGCAGCAACCATGGAGGACCAAGTCGGTTTCGATATCAATGAGTCTTTGAAGCTTTACCTTAGCGATGTGACGACCATCGCCACGCCTGAAGCGAGTTCAGAATTGATCGACTGCGAAAATGACCCCGAGAGTCTTTCACCAGGGCTGGTGGACAATGTGTTGGATTCGGTGATAGATCTGATTACGGAAAACCCAGAAGGGCTTCTCAGAAGCTCGACATTCGATACCTTACAGTTTCTGTTAAAGTGAGCATCCTACTTCCCCTTCTCTTCACCGAGTATCTGCGCTTTTGGCTGAACTATTTCGCATATGCAGGCACTCATCCGTCCTATCCACGCAAACCCTGGGCAAGATTCTCAATTTGATTGTTTCCGGACTGTCGACCACCGCGGACGTCGCAAACCACGATATCGAAAATGACGAACAAGAAACACTGCCGCAGCACAAACGTCTGCTGGAAATGTACGCATTCCTTCTTCAGTGGTCCATATCCGCGGTCGAAGCAAAAGCACAGGAGAAGTCCAGCGCGGCGCCGGCAAGAAGAGGTGGGAAGGGGGCAAAATCAAAGTCGGCTACCAAAGACAATGCCTGGGATTCTTCCAGCCAGATCCAGAGTGCAATGGATGTTATGTGTCGAGTGATGAAGCTCAAGCTGAATCGCATCTTCCAGACAACCTCTGATCGCGACACATTCATCAATCTGTTTACGAGATCCGTTTACATGATAATGGAAAGCGAAGCCAGAGTCAAGATTACAGCTGTCCGCATGTTTTGCTTCAAAGTGCTCTGCGTTGCCGTGAAGCATCATGGTCATGCTCTTGGGGCACAGACTTCGATTGTCCAGAATCTCACATACTTTGAACATTTATCAGAGCCCATGGCCGAGTTTCTCCACATCCTCTCGGAACAGTACGACTACCCTCAGCTATCTGCCGAGATTCTCAGAGAGTTGGCGGCAAAGGAGTTCAGCCAGAACGACAACAAAGGTCCCAAGTCGGTTTCTGCCTTTATCATCAAACTTTCAGAGCTCGAGCCTAGGCTCGTCATCAAGGAAATGGGCTTGCTCGCGAAATTCCTTGACAGTGAGGCACACACCTTACGATGTGCGGTGATCGAGGTCTGCGGGAATCTGCTCGCAGATCTCAGCAGACAAGAGGAGAAAAGTGAAACCACCAAAATACAAATCAATGCATTTTTCGACACCTTGGAACAACGATTTCTCGACACAGCACCTTTCTGCCGAGTGCGAGCAATGCAAGTCCTCACCAAGATATGTGATCTGGAGCAGAAGTTTCCTAAGAGGAGACAGAATGCTGCCGAACTTGCCATGCAGAGCCTCCAAGACAAAAGCAGTAATGTACGGCGGAACGCTATCAAACTTTTGAGAAAGCTGGTTTCTTCGCACCCGTTCAGCCTGATGCACGGTGGACAGCTTTCGCAAAAGGAGTGGATAGAAAGACTCGAGGCAGTAGAATCACAATTGGACGCGTTGAAGCCGCCACCGGACTCACCAGGAGTGGCACGGACAGCAGCGGGGGAAGAGCAGGTTGACCAAGAACTTCTCGATGATGCAACCCAGGCGGTGGAGGAGCCAAAGGAGTTAACTGAGGAGGAGCAGATTGCCGCGGTCAAGAAGGCACAGGAAGACGCTGCGACGTCTGAATTGGTTGGCAAACTACAACTGACCCGAAAATATTATCTCGAGGCACTCAGATTCATCGAGACCATTCACGACGCTTCGGAAATCGCGGTTCAGTTGTTGTCGTCGCCCAACAAGACCGAAGTCATCGATGTGATGGACTTCTTTGTGACGATTGATGCGTTCAAGGTCGAGACAGCACGAAAGGGTATCCGTCGAATGATGCGGCTGATCTGGACCAAGGGGAACAGTGATGAGGGCAAAGGTGTCCAGAACCATCTGATCGACAACTACAAGAGTCTCTTCTTTGACGCCCCTGATATGTTCAGCGCCAACGACGCCGCCAATTTCGTCGCTCGAAATATGATCAGCTTGACATTCGGGGCAACACCTGCAGAATTGACCTCGCTAGAACAGCTGCTGAGCACTATGTTCAAGGCTGGCCACATTTCGGAGTTAGTGATTGCCAAATTGTGGCAGGTGTATGGCGTCAACAAGGAAATCTCCAAGGCACAGAGGAGAGGTGCCATCATCGTCCTCGGCATGATTGCTCTGGCGAGCCCGGAGGTTGTGGTGAAGGAACTTGACACGATGTTGCGAGTCGGCCTTGGACAGCTGGGCCGGACTGATTTTGTGCTCGCCAAATTCACTTGCGTTGCCCTTCGACGCATGATACCCACCACAAAGAAGGTGCAAGAGAAGACCGCCCCAACGGGTCTTTCGAAGATGTCCAACAACCATGAAGTTCTTCGTATGCTCGCATCAATTCTCCTGACCACGTCGGCAAGCAAAGACTGGTATGGGATGGCGGAACAGGCCATTAGCGCCATTTACGTCCTTTCGGATCATCCAGATGTCCTATGTTCTGAAGTGCTGAGACAGAAGACTCGGCTTGTCTTTCAGCAGACGAAAGACTTGCCGTCGTTATCGAGGTCGTCTTCTCCAGAGCCCGATGCAATGGACATTGACGGGGAAGAGCCAGTCACCAACCCAGAGACCGAACCACACGAGCCTGAACCGGTAGAGACTAAGCAGGAGAAGCCATCTATTGCATTGTCACAGCTGTTGTTCGCCGTCGGCCACATTGCCATCAAACAAATCGTGCATCTCGAGTTATGTGAACTCGACTTTAAGCGACGGAAGCAGGACCAAGAGAAAAACAAGCAAGAGGCCAACTCTCCCCTTGACAAGTCATCAGGCCCTACCCCACGTCAGCGGAAAAGGACTGCGGCAGAAGAGGTCCTGGCGGAGAAGCAGAAAGAGGAAGAAAGGGACGAGCTCGACCTGATTGGGGGTACGACCGAAGATGATTTCACCGAAGCCATTGCGCACATAAGGGAACGGGAGCTGCTATATGGTCCACATTCGCTGCTTGCAAACTTTGGGCCGCTGGTGACAGAAATCTGCGCGAACAATACTGCGTACAAGGATCGAAATCTCCAAGCTCAGGCGACGCTGTGTCTGGCCAAGCTCATGTGTGTGAGCAGTGAGTACTGCGAGAAGAACTTGCCTCTCCTGATTACCATTCTGGAACGATCCAACGATCCTATCGTCCGCTCCAACGCGGTGATTGCGCTGGGCGACATGGCGGTGTGCTTCAACCATCTCATTGATGAGAACACCGATTTCCTCTACCGACGGCTGAACGACGCCGACGAAAGTGTGAAGCGAACGTGTCTGATGACATTGACCTTCCTCATCTTGGCAGGGCAGGTCAAGGTGAAAGGTCAACTGGGAGAAATGGCCAAGTGTCTGGAAGATGGGGACAAGAAGATTGCAGATCTGGCGCGCATGTTCTTTACGGAACTGGCCACCAAGGACAATGCCGTCTACAATCAATTTGTCGACATGTTCAGTGTGCTCACTCAAGAGGGGCCGTTGGAGGGCGGAGTCATGGAAGAGGAAGCAGTCAAGAGGATTTTGAAATTCTTGTGTGGATTCATTGAGAAGGTATGTCTTTTGTTATGTTGTGCCTGCGCCCCCAGCTTTTCAACGACGGAGCCACTCTCGACTAACACGATGTGCCAAATAGGACAAACACGCGAAAAACCTGGCAGAGAAACTCGCAGCGCGCCTGAACAGATGCGCGAATAAACGACAATGGGACGACACAGCCTACGCGCTGTCGTTACTGCAGCACAAGAACGAGGACATTACGAGGAGGATCCAAGAGGGATATAGAGTGGTGGAGACCGAGGCGTGAACTGTGTCACCATGCAGTCTGTGTAAGTGAGACTGCCTAGTCAGAAACTTCTGGGGAGAAGTTGGACGGTATTTGTGTGACTAGGATACACGATGAAGATTGTAATGAAGTGGATGAGGTTATGATATCTAGTACAATGGCATTCATTTTATGCTCTTTGGGCTCTGGTTTCCAGTTCTTCAGCCATTTTTGCCCAGGTCCATCCGGCTCGTTCCAGCTTTCCAGCCTTCCAGCCAGGGTGGGTGTCCAGCGCAGCCCTCGCAGATTAGATTTTGTATACAAGACTGGAGACTCCATACACCTTGTTCTCTTCTCGCTTTATTGAATGAATGGATACGCATCGATGGATGACGAATGAATATATATGGTGTATCCCCGCCGAGCACCTGGAGATAGTTAGATGGGATGAGGGACACGGGACGTTTTACCCGTGTGTCAGTACTGTCTGTTTAAGTAGGTGAAGGGAGGTAATTCTTGCAAGTGATGATGGATGCTCTGGGTCACATTTGTGTCATGTCTCATGCGCCGTGGGCTAAAATGGAACAAGAGAAGGAGGGAGAAGAGAAAGAGAGGGTAAAAGTAAAAAAGGGCTTCATGATGATTTCGAGCACGGGTCTTTTTTTTTTCTCCTCTTCGTCGTCCTCGTAAAAATGGTCGTCGTATATATTCCCGTAAATCATAATATCCCAGGGCCAAAAAAAAACCCTTAATCTCATCTTGACTCATCGCATCTCAATTTCAAGTCAACCCCAACACACTCTTGTCATGTCATTGGAAAGTGTGAAATCATCGGTGCCGGGTTGGATATGCACAGGCACCCACCAGCCCCCATTCTGTCTCTGGCATTCGCTTCCAGCCATGAATGGTCCGACTTGGGAGAGTCAAGCAAAGTCCTTCATCCAATAAACCTCTTGGTTCCACCGGCCCAGCTCGGTCCGTTGAGATTCGAGGTCGAAATGATCGGGTCTTTTGGTCGACTGGTGAATTGCTCGATTGTCAACCTTGAGAAAAAACGCCGTTTGAAAAGTTGCAAAACGTAATGTCGTTCCCCGATAGTTCTGGGGTGCGCTATAACAAACAAAAAGTATGTATACGCTCAATCGAAAAAGAAAAATCCCCCACAAAGGAGAAGTCTTCCCCTTTGTAAGCTAAATGCAAGTCGAAATCCAAGTTCGTCCCCTTTTAGGGCGTGATGGCCGGCGAGCCCGAATTCTTGGACTCGGAATCACTGGCCAGATCGTGCATGAAGCGCTCGTCGGGCCGGACCATGTTGGAGCCAGACCTCAGCCTGGCGGCCTCACGCTTGGCCAGCACCTCGTTCCAGGCGGCCGGGTCGAGGGCGTGTTGCGACTCCTCGCCCAGGGCGGCGGCAGTGCCCATGGCCGTCGCGCTGTGGATGGCGGCACCGACAGCGCCTCCATCAGCGGCGATATGCTCGGCATCCAGCTCCGGGATGGGCGACTCTACTAGACTGTGGCGGGCCTCGCGCTTAGCGGTGCGAATCTCATGCTGGGTCGAGAACTCGGCGTGATGCTTGGCGAACAGCGGGACGTGCTTGTCGAGGAAGTTGGTCGCGGCGGCCAGGGGGTGTGGCGTCGCGATATGGATGTGGTGGTGGTGGTGGGCCTGTGAGTGCCAGGAGGCGTTGGTCGGGTTTTGGGTTGGCGAGGGCGTCGGCGCGATAATGTACGCGGGACTCGGGTGTACAAAGGCCGACGGGAGAGGCGGCATCGCGATCTTCATGTTAGATTTTGTGGAGGAGCGGGTGGTGGTGGGCGAGAGGGACTCGTCTGATGTTGAAGGAGAGGACATGATGGTGTGACTGTTGTCAGGAATAAGGTCCTTTTTTGTACGAGGCACAGATGAAGCGGTATTTTTTGGAATGGCGTCAATGAGCTCAGAACTGCTGTATACAGTATCTAGAAAGACGTATATGGCGCTGTGTGGTCGGGAAATCTAGGACGTGAAGCGCGAGTCCTTGTGACCCCGCGACTGCGCCACACTCCTGAGTGCCTGTACTTGTAATTGATGTGTAATGAGGGCTTTTTTCACTTCTGTTTCTTTTGCGCGCCCCAGGAAATCAATGCACAACGGATGGGGGAAGTGAGTGAGTAAGAGAGAGGTGTAGGATATCCAAAGAGGGACAAGAGAGAGTTCGGCACAGAAAGAGAAAGGAAACCGGAAAAGCCCCGCGTCCTTTATAAAAGAAAAAAGAGAGAAAAGAGAAAAGGAAGGAGGGAAGAGTGTCTCTCGGCCATTACGCGAAACTTAGCAAATCGTACCAAGTCCTCCTGAACATTTTCGAGCGTCTGTTTGAGAAAGGAAGCTATACCACACCCTTTTGAGGGTGGGAGAGAGAAGCAACCGGAATGCCGCCATTGACGGACATGATTCCTCTTTGCAGCCGTAGCGAAAGAAGGAAGAGGAAGAAGCAGAACAAGAGGGGCTCGTAACCAATTGGCCACCCCAACCAATACTTGGTGTCTTGTCCGTTGCTGACGCATCATGCGACATTATGCATCATGCCAGTCGTGGCATGGTAAGGCACGGCATGGGTATAGCCTCTGGTCTGGCCAAGAGGGTCGATAACTACGAGTACGTCGTTGTTGTAGTTGTGAAAGACATTGTGTCGTGGCGAGAGAAGGAGAGAGGTTAGAGGGAGAGAGATCCGCCTCAATGAATATGACATAGGGCATGTGTAGTCATCACCAAGGAGCTGGTCTCCATGAACATACAAGTTCTTGTCCGAGTAGAAGCTGAAGGGCACCCAAAAGGTGTGGAGATGAAATGCTGACAGAGACAAAGAGAAAGAAGAAAAAGTTGAAGTGCGGGCGGGATAAAGATGGTTACCCGGATACGATTATGATCACGTGGATGAATCATGTGACCTGGATTTCGTGACCATGACCATACTAGGTATATACATGTACAAAACCGAGTACATATGTACCAGGAACATGGGTGTAAGCATATATATCTCAAAGGCATTAAGCTCCCTCCATACGAAGAACATTTCCATGCTCGTCTCTATATCTCATTAAATATTTACCTAGTCCTTCCCTCTCCCCGAACAACGTGGCCCTGCCACGCGTATGTCATGACCCAAGTTCAGCCCTCTCCGTGCTCCTTCGATGATGGAGCCCATCGCCCTCCAGCCCGGCCGGCATTTCGGCTCGGTCGTATTCTCCCGCCCCAGCCAATTCAGGGCGGGGATACGCAGGAGATGTTGGTGCTTCTGAGGCCACATGTAGAGATCCAGGCTGAGACGCCACCACGAAGGGCTTCTGCATCATCTGGTCTTGGTCAAGGAGGCTGCCGCCGCCGCCGCCGTGACCTCCATTTACTGCAAGGTGCGCTCTCATCGCCTTGCTGTGACGCTTCTTGCGGAACAAGACGAAGATCAGGACTCCGATGATCACCGCCGCCGCTCCCAATCCAGCTCCCAGTCCTGCTGCAAGCCCCGTGTTGCTCGAGCCGCCACCGCCACTCTCCCGAGATGGTTCAGGCGTGTCTGATGTTGCCGAGGCTCCCGCGGCAGTCGTCGTTCCGCTGGTGGTGGTGGTGGGCGACGACGTCGGGGTCGAACTGATCTCCGTGCTACTCGTGGTACTCTCAGTGAGGCTGTCCGAGTCACTTGTGCTGGTACCCTCGGTCACGAGAGGGCTTGTCTGAGTAAATGGAGACGTGGTGGAGGAAACGCCGGGCCAGCTGGTACTTCCAATGACCGTCACTGTACTCGGTTGACTGTCCCCGAGCTTGACCGCATTCTTTCCCGTGTCGCAGCTACACTCTGAATCCCCGGGACAACAGTACTGCAGCAAATCTGTCAGTCTTCCGTCCTGTCGGTCCGAGTAACGATATTGCTCCCTCAAATTTCAAGGGGGAGAGACCAAGGGAAGAACCTACCCAGTCCTGTTCCGTGTCACATTTAGCTAAAGGTATAGATGTATTGGAATCTGCAAGCACCCCCATCTTCAGTATACCCATGTCACCAGTACAGTCGTAAACCGTCACGTACTCTGCGCAAAGCACCATCCTGGGCATTGCTGGCTGTTCCAGGTCCGATCTGTACAAGTACCCCGGTAATAGAAGCTGCTCCCCCCTTGCTCAATGTAACAAACCCCGTCCGAAAGACACGTCCATCCCGTTCCGCAACAAGCTGAGTTCTCTTGGTCCGGGAAACACGCTGAGTCGTCGGTCGCTATCGAGTAAGGATCATCTGGTGCGAGCGTACTGTTTTGCCAGTAGCAAGCTGCCGAAGCCAGTCCGGAGATGGAAAGGAAGAGGAGAGAGAAGGTTGCGGTCGGCATTGAGACGAGCGCGATGCTCTTTCAGAGTGCAAAGGCGACGATATCTCAGGGTGTATAGAGGTCGGCTGCCTGCGACGAAGAATGACCAAGGCGTGCAACTGCACCACGGTTCTCGCCCAGGCGGAAAAACTAGATGAACGATCAGAGGGATGGTAGTCAAGTCTATCTTCAGCTCAGAAGTAAAGGCGGAACATTGTGAATCGAACGTCTGTGCCACTCAGGCACCCTACCGTTCCACTCTTGGCCTGTTTCACGACACCCTCCAAGGCCGTGCAAGCCGTGTCCCCAAAGTCTGAACTTTTGTCGCCATACAATCACAGAGCTGGAGAAGGCTGTGGATCTAAACGACCAACACATAGCCAATGCTGCGGTACGCGAGGCTCCATAGGCCGCTAGGTCAAGGGCTAGTTAGACTTGAGAATCCATCACGAAGGCCGATCTGTTAGAGTTCGATTTCGGTTAAGGCGTGCTGTCTGGATCTGCGCGTTACTGGCCCATCACGTCAAGTGCTCAAAGTAAAAAATTGGGGCTGTAACAGGGCTGTCCTGTCCAGTGTGATCTGTTCGAAGTGTCCCTGAACGCTTGATCCCGCTGTGATTGAGCCGCCTCAGGGTTAAGAGGGGCCGTTGGGCTATGCCACCAATGACTTTTTGTCAATCGTCCTCTGACAAAAAGCTCAGTACCCAGCCC